AGAAAAATAGAAGAACACACTAGACAACATAAAAATAGAAAGCTATAGTTACCGTGTCGGGAATTGAACCTGTCACCTCCAGATGGCGTGTGGGCCTCGCCATGGATACAAGTGCACTAAGAACATGGTCAACTAGGCACCCACCAAAAAAGGTGTTTTATTGGCCACGATATATGGTATAGCTTGAAATCCACAACTATGGAAAACGAACAGAATGTGTGACTAGAATAATCAGTTCGCAATCCTGCCGATGATTCGGAGTTTGTGCTGTGTGTGCACATTCTTATTTGATTTGTAAAGAAGCTCTAAACCTCGAAGAGAAAATTGGCGTGAACAACAGAGTTCATCTTTGAGAAGTAGTAAAGGGAATATCCAACATGGTTCAGAACCATACAGCGGTGAACATTGGCAAACTGGTGCGGCTGCCCTGGTTCAGAACCAGTCTCGGTAAACATTCAAATTTAACAATGGAATGAATGCAATGTGTCGCTCAGCGAATCTCCAGTGAGTGGTTGGATATCCACACAGGTGTCACTTGTGTATTGACGGACTATGTTTTCACGCACACGTTGGGAGAGCAGACACTAATTAGTGTTGAGTCCATCGATCAAAGGCCAGCTCACGAACAAACACAGTGTTTAATTAGTCGAGTAGCCCACCTGTAGTGATGTTTCCACCTAGCCACTTCATGGTTAGATCTAGCCAGATTCAGTGTCCCTGGGATCAGAGCTGACACTATGTTTCCTGTCATTCTCCGTCTTCTGTTTGTCATCTTACCTCTGGTGGATGGAAGCTGCCAGTCATGTAAGATTATTTGTCTGTCTATCTGTATTTCTTCCTGTCTAGCTTTATTTGGCCTACAGGCCTACATGCATTCATACAAATATAATCACATTCATGTTTTCATACATTTATACACACACATACACACACAATACATAGCTACATTATATAATATTTAAACATATACATACATTCACATATACATTCATACTGACAGACAAACATATGGAGGGGCAGAGAGACACTCGCGTACCTAAGTACGCACATACATGCATACATACATACATACAATAATACATCTATACTCACAAAAATATACACTAAAACATATAGACACACATACAAGCACACTCATACGTAAACACACACACACACACACACACACACACACACACACTAAACATAAAGGGTTTGCTTATGAAAGCGATATAAGAGGGTTCGAGTTTGGCAATGAAAATTTAAAAAAAAGAATTTATATGAAAAGCAAAAGAAATACGAAACTATGACCAAGGAACAGAAAAATAGGAATTTGAGCAAAGACAGTAACTTCTTCTGGGAATATAAATATAGGTCTGAAAAAAAAACAACAACTTAAAAGCCGACAAACACAAGCAACATGTTAAAAACCTCCTGACAAAGTTACAACTCCCAGAAATAGTCGGAGAAAGAAATGAATGAAGTCCTGCTAACTTTAAACACTTCTCCCGTACAGACTTACACAGTATAAGAAACACACAACACTTTGTCACTTCACTCGTACAGACTTACACAATGTAAGCAACACACAACACTTCACTCGCACAGACTTACACAATGTAAGCAACACACAACACTTTGTCATTTCACTCGTACAGACTTACACAATGTAAGCAACACACAACACTTCACTCCTACAGACTTACACAATGTAAGCAACACACAACACTTCACTCGTACAGTCTTACACAATGTAAGCAACACACAACACTTTGTCACTTCACTCTTTCAGTCTTACACAATGTAAGCAACACACAACACTTCACTCGTACAGTCTTACACAATGTAAGCAACACACAACACTTTGTCACTTCACTCTTTCAGTCTTACACAATGTAAGCAACACACAACACTTTGTCACTTCACTCTTTCAGTCTTACACAATGTAAGCAACACACAACACTTCACTCGTACAGTCTTACACAATGTAAGCAACACACAACACTTTGTCACTTCACTCGCACAGACTTACACAATGTAAGCAACACACAACACTTTGTCACTTCACTCGTACAGACTTACACAATGTAAGCAACACACAACACTTCACTCGCACAGACTTACACAATGTAAGCAACACACAACACTTTGTCACTTCACTCTTTCAGTCTTACACAATGTAAGCAACACACAACACTTCACTCGTACAGTCTTACACAATGTAAGCAACACACAACACTTTGTCACTTCACTCTTTCAGTCTTACACAATGTAAGCAACACACAACACTTCACTCGTACAGTCTTACACAATGTAAGCAACACACAACACTTCACTCGCACAGACTTACACAATGTAAGCAACACACAACACTTTGTCACTTCACTCGTACAGACTTACACAATGTAAGCAACACACAACACTTTGTCACTTCACTCGTACAGACTTACACAATGTAAGCAACACACAACACTATGTCACTTCTCTCGTGCAGACTTACACAATGTAAGCAACACACAACACTTTGTCACTTTACTCGCACAGACTTACACAATGTAAGCAACACACAACACTTTGTCACTTCACTCGTACAGACTTACACAATGTAAGCAACACACAACACTTCACTCGCACAGACTTACACAATGTAAGCAACACACAACACTTTGTCACTTCACTCGCACAGACTTACACAATGTTAGCAACACACTACACTTTGTCGTTTCTCTCGTACAGACTTACACAATGTAAGCAACACACTACACTTTGTCGTTTCTCTCGTACAGACTTACACAATGTAAGCAACACACTACACTTTGTCGTTTCTCTCGTACAGACTTACACAATGTAAGCAACACACAACACTTCACTCGTACAGTCTTACACAATGTAAGCAACACACTACACTTTGTCGTTTCTCTCGTACAGACTTACACAATGTAAGCAACACACTACACTTTGTCATTTCTCTCGTACAGACTTATAAAATGTAAGCAACACACTATACTTTGTCATTTTTAAACAAGAAGGAGCACCTTCCCCCTCCGCCTATACAGGCATACTTATAAATAAACGTAAATATACATACACTCATACATATTGTCAGTATGTCACATTTCAATGTTGTATTAGCAAATGTCATTGTTGAATTAGTAAATGACAATGTTGTATTAGCAAATGACAATGTTGTATTGTCAAAAATCAGTGTTGTATAACCAATTTTCATTGTTGTATTAGTAAATGTCAATGTTGTATTAGCAAATAACAATGTCGTATTAACAAATGACAATGTTGTATTAGCAAATGAGAATGTTGTATTAGCAAAGGACAATGTCGCATTAACAAATGACATGTTGTGTTAGCAAATAACAATGTTGTATTAGCAAATGTCAATATCGTCTTAGCAAATAACAATGTTGTATTAGCAAATGACAATATCTTATTAGCAAATGACAATGTTGTATTAGCAAATGATAATATCTTATTAGCAAATGACAATGTTGTTTTAGCAAATGACAATGTCGTATAAACAAATGACAATGTTGTATTAGCAAATGACAATGTTGTATTAACAAATGTCAATATCGTCTTAGCAAATGACAATATCTGATTAACAAATGACAATGATGTATTAGCAAATGATAATATCTTATTAGAAAATGACTGTGTTGTATTAGCAAATGACAATGTTGTAATGGCAAATGGCAATGTTGTAATAGCAAATGTCATTGTTTAATTAGTAAATGTCAATGTTGTATTAGCAAATGCCAATGTCGTATTAGCGAATGTCAATGTTGTATTAGCAAATAACAATGTTGTATTAGCAAAGGACAATGTTGTATTTGAAAATGACAATGTTATGCTCTTCAGTCAGCAAGTCCTTTACAGAACGTCACTCTCCGCCCCTTTCTCTAGCCAGCTCTCAAGCCCCATGTGCTTTCAATGCCAATGCATCTTCAAAGTCATGTATCCATCTTGGCGGTGGTCACCCCTGCCTCACCTTCCAGAAACTGCACCTTCCATCCCCGTCTTTTCCAAGTCACCATGACGCTTGATGTGGCCAAAATACTTCAACTTTCGGGACAGGATGCTGTTTATGAGCCAGTTCTCCTTGATGTTAAACTCTTTGAGAATGTCGAAGTTTTTCCTCTTTCTGGTGCAGGGTATTCTAAGAATTTTTCTATAACATTTCATTTCAAAAGCTCCAATCTGTTTTCCTCAGTGACTGAGTGAGATTCCAAGACTCACAACCGTAAGTTGCCTCAGGAAAAAACGCATGATCTCAAGATTTTTACTTAAACCAATTAACTAGAGCTTTGCCATAGGTTCCTCATGTTATTTAATCTCTGCATTGCAAATGCAAATCTTTTTCTGACGTCTTTCATGCAGTCGCCACTGTAGTTCACTATTACGCCCACATATTCCAAATCTGTTACATTTTCTTTTTCTTCATTTTCGATTGTGATATGTGGTTGGTGTGCTCTATTTACTTAGGACATAATTTTTTTTCTTTTTGAAAATTCAGATTCACTTCTTCGCTGTGTTTTTTGACGACCAGAATTAATTTTTCTAAACCTTGCAGTCTGTTGGAAAGGAAAACTGTGTCGTCTGCATATCTGAGTTCTGGGATAGGATTACCTCCAATTTTTAGTGGAACAAAGCTCTCACCTGCCTCATCCCTAATGGCGTTTCTCATAACATTTTTAACATATATGTTACAGAAGGAGAGTGAAAGGTGAATATTAGGTCAGCTAATGTCAATTTGGTTAAAAAGTTAAAACGGTGAGCTAACAAATATCAGTGTTATGTCAGCAAATATTATTGCTGTGTTTGTAAACATCAACAATATTTTAGCAAATGATACTGCTGAACAGCAACCAACTGTGTTGTGTTAGCGCGTGTCAGTGTTATTTTGATCACGTTTCAGTGTTGTGTTAGCAAGTGTCAGTGTTATGTTAGCAAGTGTCAGTGTTATGTTAGCAAGTGTCAACGTAATGAAAACAACCTTCATCCACCCACAGCCGGCAGGAACTGCCCTAAAGGATCTCCTGCAGTCTATTGTAAGGTGGCACCATGTGACGAGAACCAGTGCCCCAGATACCCAGGTGCTAGATGTGTGTAAGTTCGAATGTTGTCATCAGTAGTGCTGTCAAATACCCTATATAGTCTAAGACGATCCTGTGTATAAGACGGCTCTTGATTTTGGGACCAGTAATTTTAAAAAGGAAAAAAAAATGGTAACAAAAATCTGCGGAACTCACGTTTTATTCATGAACAAACCCAGAAAGCTTATGACTGACAAAACATATATATTCTGGACTCGACTGAGCCTGGTGACGGATCACTGTCTACAGATATAGCCTCATCCTCAGCCCCACGGGTGGCATTGAAAGCCACACTTCTTGAATGACTTGGCAACGATCTCAAACTTTACTTTATCCCAGGATCTCCTCCCCAAGATACAAACTTGTTTTACAGTTAGTTTCTTCACACTACCTGCTAGTGTCAGATTGTCCCCAGAAGACTTTGTCTGTTGGTTCCATTCCTCTCCCATGACAACTTTTGTTTCTGTCGCCACGAGACGGTTTTATCAAATGAGGCGCTGTGTGGGATGTCATCACAAACCATTTGGTGAAAATCTGCTACCATTTATTATTATTCGCACACTGTTTTTTGACTATATATTTTGTTAAAATATGTGTGTCTATATACTTGAGGAAATACGGTACATTAGATCTCTCTCTCTCTCTCTCTCTCTCTCTCTCTCTCTCTCTCTCTCTCTCTCTCTCTCACACACACACATACACACGCAAACAAGCGTACGCATAAACACACTCAATTTACAAGTGACACACCCCGTTCAGATTAGCGCATACCTTGCTAGTGCTATCCCAGCATTCGTGGTTGACCGTTTGTCTCAGCAATAAGCTGGAGTTCTGGCGTTGGACCGTCAGTGTTTGCACATGCGACAGCTGCATTGTACATTTCTACTTTGCTTGTGCGCGCTTAAAGATTATACTGGAACTGACACGTTTTTGTCTAGTTTTCAAATAGTCATTTTCACCAACACAGTAACAGAACAGTCGCGGGGCCACCTGTCTGCAGTCCAGCTGACACCGTTTAGAAAGTCCAGTTCTGCAGAAGTCTGGCTGGATATCAACAGATAGACACACCCACCAAGGAGATTAGAAAAGCCATCCACCTCCTGCGTGACGGGAAATTTCCTGGTCCAGATGTTATCCCCGAAAAAGTACTGAAGCCAACATAAACGCATCCACGGAGCTGCTCCCAGATTTCTATTGCAAATCCTAGGACACAGAAGAAAGACAAGCAATTGTAAAGAAATGACATCTGCTAACAATGCCAAAGAATGGCGACCTATGGAAGTGTGAACAGTGTAAAGGAATTCTAATTGTGCACTTAATTATGTGAAATAATTGGCTGTTTCTGGTGAATAATTACTCTGGCTCGATTGCCAAAAGCCATTCGTAAACAACTAATGGACGAACGGGCAGGCATTCAAGGGTTCTCCAAACACTGCTTTCTCCTTGTATTACCTAAATATTTCAATAGACTCAAGGGTTCTCCAAACACTGATATCTCCTTGTATTACCAAGATATTTCAATAGACTCAAGGGTTCTCCAGACTCTGATATCTCCTTGTATTACCTAAAAATTTAATAGACTCAAGGGTTCTCCAAACACTGATATCTCCTTGTATTACCTAAATATTTTAATAGACTTAAGGGTTCTCCAAACACTGATATCTCCTTGTATTACCTAAATATTTCAATAGACTTAAGCGTTCTCCAAACACTGATGTCTCCTTGTATTACCTAGATACTTCAAAAGACTTAAGTGTTTTTCAACTATTGGTATCTCCGTAAGTTACCTACATGTATAAAGGTTCTCTAAACCAATGATATCTCCATGTATTACCTACATATACAAAGACTATCTAAACCAATGATATCTCCACGTATTACCTACAGATACAAAGGTTATCTAAACCATTGATATCTCCACCTATTACCTACATATACAAAGGTTATCTAAACCATTGATATCTTCACGTATTACCTACATATACAACGGTTATCTAAACCATTGATATCTCCACGTATTACCTACATATACAAAGGTTATCTAAACCATTGACATCTCCACGTAGTACCTACATATACAAAGATTATCTAAACCATTGATATCTCCACGTATTACCTACATATACAAAGGTTATCTAAACCATTGATATCTCCACGTACTACCTACAAATATAAAGGTTATCTAAACCATTGAAATCTCCATGTATTACCTACATATACAAAGGTTATCTTAACCATTGATATCTCCAAGTATTACCTACATATACAAAGGTTATCTAAACCATTGATATCTCCACGTATTACCTACATACACAAAGGTTATCTAAACCATTGATATCTCCACGTATTACCTACATATACAAAGGTTATCTAAACCATTGATATCTCTATGTATTACCTACATATACAAAGGTTATCTAAACCATTGATATCTCCATGTATTACCTACATTTATAAAGGTTATCTAAACCAATGATATCTCCACGTATTACCTACATATATAAAGGTTATCTAAACCAATGATATCTCCATGTATTACCTACATATACAAAGGTTATCTAAACCAATGATATCTCCATGTATTACCTACATATACAAAGGTTATCTAAACCAATGATATCTCCATGTATTACCTACATATATAAAGGTTATCTAAACCAATGATATCTCCATGTATTACCTACAAATATAAAGGTTATCTAAACCATTGATATCTCCATGTATTACCTACATATACAAAGGTTATCAAAACCAATGATATCTGTATGTATTACCTACATATACAAAGGTTATCTAAACCATTGATATCTCCATGTATTACCTACATATACAAAGGTTATCTAAACCAATGATATCTCCACGTATTACCTACATATACAAAGGTTATCTAAACCAATGATATCTCCATGTATTACCTACATATACAAAGGTTATCTAAACCATTGATATCTCCACGTATTACCTACACATACAAATGTTATCTAAACCATTGATATCTCCACGTATTACCTACACATACAAATGTTATCTAAACCATTGATATCTCCACGTATTACCTACATATACAAAGGTTATCTAAACCATTGATATCTCCATGTATTACCTACATGTACAAAGGTTATCTAAACCATTTATATCTCCACATATTACCTACATATACAAAGGTTATCTAAATCATTGATATCTCCATGTATTACCTACATATACACAGGTTATCTAAACCATTGATATCTCCACGTATTACCTACATATATAAAGGTTATCTAAACCAATGATATCTCCATGTATTACCTACATATACAACGGTTATCTAAACCATTGCTATCTCCACGTATTACCTACATATATAAAGGTTATCTAAACCATTGATATCTCCATGTATTACCTACATATATAAAGGCTATGTAAACCAATGATATCTCCATGTATTACCTACATATACAAAGGTTATCTAAACCGTTGATATCTCCACGTATTACCTACATATATAAAGGCTATCTAAACCAATGATATATCCATGTATTACCTACATATACAAAGGTTATCTAAACCAATGATATCTCCACGTATTACCTACATATACAACGGTTATCTAAACCAATGATATCTCCATGTATTACCTACATATATAAAGGTTATCTAAACCAATGATATCTCCATGTATTACCTACATATATAAAGGTTATCTAAACCAATGATATCTCCACGTATTACCTACATATACAAAGGTTATCTAAACCATTGATATCTCCACGTATTACCTACATATATAAAGGTTATCTAAACCAATGATATCTCCATGTATTACCTACATATATAAAGGTTATCAAAACCAATGATATCTCCACGTATTACCTACATATATAAAGGTTATCTAAACCATTGATATCTCCATGTATTACCTACATATACAAAGGTTTTCTAAATCATTGATATCTCCATGTATTACCTACATATACAAAGGTTATCTAAACCAATGATATCTCCGCGTATTACCTACTTATATAAAGGTTATCTAAACCAATGATATCTCCATGTATTACCTACATATTTAAGTAGACTGGACATTTTTCCAACCATTGATTTCTCTCTGTGCCCAGCTCGCTAGCGTAGTTGGCTAAACCTGACTTCGCGACGAATAGGGTGACGATCTCCTTGTGGTCCTGGTTCGAGCCCGGATGTAGGCACGAAAGGCACATTTCTCCCAGATTTACGGTTCCTATCATGAAATCAAGGCTGATAGGTTTCGATATCCATAGTACCAAGTCAAGTGTTAAGAACTCATGGTTTCTAGATTGGAAAAAAAAAATGTCTCTCTATTACGATTGTGTTATAATTGACCCACTGGCTATCATGTCCACAGAAACGACTACTGTGGAGGCTGTAATGCCAGATACTACGTCAACAAAATAGAAGTGACCAAGTTCTGCCGTAAGTATCCAGTTCTAATTTGCACAAACAGGATACAGGCTTAGTTCCCAACCACACAAACATGACACGAAGTTAGCTCCCAACCACACAGACATGATATGGAGTTAGTTCCCAACTACACAGACATGACATGGAGTTAGTTCACAACCACACAGACATGACACGAAGTTACTTCCCAACCACACAGACATGATGTGGAGTTAGTTCCCAACTAAACAGACATGACATGGAGTTAGTTTCCAACCACACAGACAAGACACGAAGTTAGTTCCCAACCAAACAAACATGACACAGAGTTAGTTCAAACAGCACAAACAAGACACACAGCTAGTTCCAACCACACAATCACGACACAGAGTTAGTTCCAACCACACAAAGATGACACAGAGTTAGTTCTAGCCGCACAAAAATGACACATATTTAGTTCCCAACCGCAGAAACCTGACACAGTGTTAGTTCTCAACCACACATACATCACACAGTGTTAGTTACCAACCACACAAACATGATACAGAATCTGTTGTAACTACACAAGCCTGCACTGAAACCGTTCACGACTATACAACAGGATCTGTTCTAACTACACAAGCCTGCACTGAAACCGTTCACGACTATACAACAGGATCTGTTCTAACAACACAAGCCTGCACTGAAACCGTTCACGACTATACAACAGGATCTGTTCTAACTACACAAGCCTGCACTGAAACCGTTCACGACTATACAACAGGATCTGTTCTAACAACACAAGCCTGCACTGAAACCGTTCACGACTATACAACAGGATCTGTTCTAACAACACAAGCCTGCACTGAAACCGTTCACGACTATACAACAGGATCTGTTCTAACTACACAAGCCTGCACTGAAACCGTTCACGACTATACAACAACAGGATCTGTTCTAACAACACAAGCCTGCACTGAAACCGTTCACGACTATACAACAGGATCTGTTCTAACAACACAAGCCTGCACTGAAACCGTTCACGACTATACAACAGGATCTGTTCTAACACACAAGCCTGCACTGAAACCGTTCACGACTATACAACAGGATCTGTTCTAACTACACAAGCTTGCACTGAAACCGTTCACGAATATACAACAGGATCTGTTCTAACAACACAAGCCTGCACTGAAACCGTTCACGACTATACAACAGGATCTGTTCTAACAACACAAGCCTGCACTGAAACCGTTCACGACTATACAACAGGATCTGTTCTAACACACAAGCCTGCACTGAAACCGTTCACGACTATACAACAGGATCTGTTCTAACACACAAGCCTGCACTGAAACCGTTCACGACTATACAACAGGATCTGTTCTAACAACACAAGCCTGCACTGAAACCGTTCACGACTATACAACAGGATCTGTTCTAACAACACAAGCCTGCACTGAAACCGTTCACGACTATACAACAGGATCTGTTCTAACAACACAAGCCTGCACTGAAACCGTTCACGACTATACAACAGGATCTGTTCTAACAACACAAGCCTGCACTGAAACCGTTCACGACTATACAACAGGATCTGTTCTAACTACACAAGCCTGCACTGAAACCGTTCACGACTATACAACAGGATCTGTTCTAACAACACAAGCCTGCACTGAAACCGTTCACGACTATACAACAGGATCTGTTCAACTACACAAGCCTGCACTGAAACCGTTCACGACTATACAACAGGATCTGTTCTAACAACACAAGCCTGCACTGAAACCGTTCACGACTATACAACAGGATCTGTTCTAACTACACAAGCCTGCACTGAAAACCGTTCACGACTATACAACAGGATCTGTTCTAACAACACAAGCCTGCACTGAAACCGTTCACGACTATACAACAGGATCTGTTCTAACTACACAAGCCTGCACTGAAACCGTTCACGACTATACAACAGGATCTGTTCTAACACACACAAAACTGAAACCGTGCACTGAACAACCGTTCTAACGCTGCACTGAAACCGTTCACGACAACAGGATCTGTTCTAACTACACAAGCCTGCACTGAAACCGTTCACGACTATACAACAGGATCTGTTCTAACAACACAAGCCTGCACTGAAACCGTTCACGACTATACAACAGGATCTGTTCTAACTACACAAGCCTGCACTGAAACCGTTCACGACTATACAACAGGATCTGTTCTAACTACACAAGCCTGCACTGAAACCGTTCACGACTATACAACAGGATCTGTTCTAACAACACAAGCCTGCACTGAAACCGTTCACGACTATACAACAGGATCTGTTCTAACTACACAAGCCTGCACTG